GTTAATATTTAATATATACATGCACTAAAGTAAAAAATAATTGTTACTTTAATTTCATAGATCACATCAAAAAATTAATTCCAATTCAAAATATTCTTAATTAGAGAGGTGAACAAAAATTTGAGATCGCATTTAGACAAGTGTGTCTTTAGCAAATTTTGACACATGTAGTCTTCTTTTTTACACGGGTAAAAGCGTTTTATTTTTTAGATTTATTATATTACATAGAATGTATGAAAATTATTTAACGGTGCCACTTTTACTCCAAACTCCAAAACATCTAAAGAGCACGAGTTACACAAAAAGATGTTGATATCTAATTCAACAGTCATATGACCTGGTGATCAAAGGAGATATGAGACAATCAGCTTTATTGATTTCCTATTTTCTGCTTCAACCAAAGTGATCAGGAGTCTAATAGTGAGCATCGTAATCTATGCTTCATATCTTCTAATCCACTTTCTTTTGATTTTTTTCTTTTATAGAAACTTATTAAATTATATCTGTAATCGATCCCTATGAAGTTTAATATGTGAATCTAATGCAATATGCTACTTTTGAAATATGCATTGATATAACATTTTAATATGAGCTTAACATCAGTACCAAATGAACATACATAACTTACCAAATGAGCAATGATATGAAAATCATAAGCTTTGTTAGTTGAGCATCAAGACATATGCATGGAGTATCAAACATCCTCTATTGAGTATTACAAACATGCAAATGGGAATCATGGTCTGTGCTCCCATACGTATCTATAATCAACTCTTACGTGAATCTAATGTCATATAGTACTTTTGAAATATGCATTAATAAAACATTTTAAATTGATTGAGCATAACATCATCATGATGTTATTTGAGTATAAAGACAATTTCATTGAACATCAAACCTCCCCTATTGAGTATCACAAGGATGCAATTGAGTATCATGATATGTATTCTCCCCTATTAATACATTTTCATAATAATTGAATATATAATTAAAGCAAAGGGTTGCTAAAGAGAAAACAAAGGATAACAAACAATAACAAAAAAAGCAGTGGTGGACTAACAAAAAAGTTAAAGGGAAAAATAGCAAACCAGCTCTCGGACTAACTTAAAAGTGCATATCACCCCTTATATAGGAGGCTCTGTCCAGTCGTCGCCATTTGGGGCGGTTCCCGGTGGAATATTTTGATAAATTGTTTTGAGCATCTTCTTCATTAACTCTAGTTTACCCATACCAAATTTCAGCTAAACATTCAACCGGGAAGGCAGTCAAATGATTTTCTGAAATATACTGCGCTGTTTAACTACGCAGTTATTTTCAAAAATTCATTTGACTCTCTTCCCGATTACATTTTTATATGAAATTTTGTATGGGTAAACTAGACTTGATGAAGAATATGCTAAAAACATTTCATCAAAAAATTCCACCGGAATCCGCCCCAAATGGTGGCGGCCGGACAGAGCCTCCTATATAAGGGGTCATTTGCACTTTTTAAATTAGTTCGAGGGCTGATTTGCTACTTTTCCCAAAATTAAAAAAACAAAGATGAAAACGAAGGCAGTAGTGCGGAACAAACCAAACGCCATGGGAGTCGAGGAGCGCATGTGGGCATGCGGCGGAAAAAGAAAGAGCTACAGTAACTTTACCCCAATTATAACCCTGAAACTTCTAACTAATTACAAAAATGCCGATTGTACCGTATAATTTACCGAATTTTAGCAATTGATCTTAAACTTTTGTGATAGGTTACAGTTTTCGTATTTGTCAACCCAAAAAACGGTTGTTATAAGACAATAAATATAATGTTTTGTCAACCCAAAAAAAGGTTGTTATAAGACAATAAATATAATGTCACAATCGTTAGAAGATCAAAAGTATTATTGTTTAACTAGTATAGTACTCATACATACACACGAGGAAGAGCAGTTGATGCATATGTTTTTATACAAAATCTAATTAAATATAGACATTTTTTTAATTTGAGGTGGGCCATGGCCAGGGGCAAAGTCAGGGCACTGAACCGGATTGGACGGATACAAAAAAATATTTTTGAAAACAATTTTACACAGAATTTTTTACATTGCATTTTTAAAATTTAGTGTGGGCCAGGGCATAGGATGGCCACCTCCCTAGCTATGCCCCTGACCATGGCTTAGGCTGGTCACCCCTAGCTACGTCCCTAATCATGAATTAAGATCTTAATTAAATCCATGTTTGCTCTAAACTCTTTGTAATACCACATATAACTATTCATTACTCACCATTACTAAGTATAGGCCTAGGTATGTATACTCTAAATCTTTGATTAACACTTATATGAATTGGCTAGTAAATTCAAAAGGATAGGGTGATTGAAAAAGGAGATATACATATGTGAAGAATGTAAATCTCATGTCATTAGGGGTGGGCAAACGGGTCTTGGAACCGCGGTCCGGTCCGGGTAATGGCGGTTCGGGTCCAAAACGGGCCGGTTCCATTTTTTGTTGCCATAAAACGGTCCGGGTAGGTCCGGGTAATTTTTTTTAAGGACCCGGGCCGGTTCCAAAATAAAAAAATACCGGGTACCCTGCCCGGCCCGTTATATATTGTATATTAATTTATTAATAGTTTTGTGATAATCGATTTTGAAATAGTTTTGTTTTCCTTTGCTAGAAGTAGAATTTTAAATTGACTTGCAGTAACATCATTTTGCTTTCAAATTATTGATTAAATTTTACATAAATTTCTTGTTATTTTTATTGGTATTGAATTATTCCTTTCTATGGAATTTAATTATTTGTTAAAAATGATTTTGTAATATTTGTTTTTATAATATTGTTCTTAAAGTATATAAACTGTTATTACCACCCCCATGTATGTGTCAACTTTGACTAATACTGAAAATTTGTTCTTAAAAATATATAAATTGTGATTACCACCCTCATGTATGTGTCACCTTAATATGTGATGTTAGACAACATTTTTGAATTCAAATGTTAGAAAATATGTATTTTGGCTATGTTGCTGATTTTTGGAACTTTAATTGTTTGGAACTTATATACATGAAATTATGAAGTATTGGACTTGTCACTTGTGTTACATGTGCACCACTATGTTGTTATTTTGAAACTTGCTAATGTACTATATTATTAATTATCGATTTTTGGAACTTTGTGAGTTTTTACTAATTTTAAGATATGAGAATACAATAAAAAAAAGATACGGGAATAGAAACCGTAAAATCCGGACCGGACCGACCCGTTTCAAACGGGCCGGGTAAGGTCCGGTTCCTATTTTGAAAATTGCAATACCCGGACCGGACCGGACCGTACAATGGAACCGGCGGTTCCATTTTATTTTGCATTACCCGCCCCGCCCCGGCCCGTGCCCAGCCCTACATGTCATTAGTTGCCTCTTTAATTATCCTTGCTCCAATGACAATATTTCGAAGTCAATTAATCTAATTTCATTGCATAATTTTTAAAATTAGTATTCCGTATATATTTCAAAAATTATTGGGGGCGGGGAATGAATATAATCATTAATTTCATCTACAATTCCAATAGTTGATATCAAAATAGCAATATACCTCCTTTCAAAAAAATAGCAATATACCTTAGGTTCTTTTTTTATAGTGCTCTAGTTGATTTTTTTTTCTCGAAGAAGGCTTAATTCATACAAATAGCATTCAGCAAGAGTACAGAAACATAAAAGAACCACATGTAACCATCCGCCTGTGGCCGAGACTAAGAGTTAACCATCTGTACAAAAGCAGTATAACTCGCTAGACCAAATTTGGGCAACTTAAAGCCAATGACGGTTACCGCAGAACTTCCATCCCCCAAACCTAGTGTAAGAGTCTTACAGCAAAAGAAACAATAAAAGTAAAACAGAACAGTCTGACCATGGAAATTAAATAGCAAGCAAATAATAAAATTAAAATACTGCTTCCAAACCCTAGACTCTCCTGCACTGTATGGCGGTGGTTCAAGAGGGGACGGTCCAACACTACTGAAACATCTTCCGCTCCTTGCCTCCGATCCAGATCTGATCCAACCCTTAGCCACACGCTTCGTCCATGACCTTTTGATCTCCACCATGAACGACATTCTCGAACCTCTATACCTGCTACTAGGGATACACAACCTTTGGCCATCAATCCTGCTCCGTCCGTTCGCCTGAGTCCCAGCCGGGACCAAACCCTGCTCCTTCTGTTCATCTGAGTTCAAGCCGCGATTGAGACTGCCGAAACAAGAACCCAATCCTCTGCCTTCATTCGCCTTCACCACTCCGATAAGCACCCATCTTCGTAAAAACGAAATCACAGTGCTCTAGTTGATTAGAATATACAATTGGAATATTGCAGCTATTGTATATTGATACTAACTTACAATTACTTAAAAATGAAGCGCTGGACAAATGTTTTTCAGCCTATGCAATTCAGTTTTACTAATGACGTCTGCAAAATTTATTTGGGCACGAATAAAGAGTTAAGAGCAATAAATATAATGTCACAATCGTTGGCTTATCAAAAGTATTACTACTACGGAGTACTACGTATTAGTTAATACTCCGTAGTGATGTTATACCTTAGACGATGAAACGTAAAACAATTTGGAGACGAATTCTTAAGGCCTCGTGTTATAAATAAAAAGAAAAGAGAATTGAGTTGAGACTTAATAAGATATTCAAAGATCCATATTATTGAGTCCTTGTTAGAGCTTTTTCAAATATATTATCGCAATGATACTTATTCAATAAAAATATGTCTGAGTCATTATTATAATCACTAGACTCACTACATCGGAGGTCAGATTTGTGTAAACTAACATTTATTTTTGTATTATTTCTTAAAAATTCAGGAATATCGCAAATACCTCATTATAAATTATAAATCACCAGGAAAGACCTACGTGGAGCCTTGCAATAATTGGTAAGTACAAAAATAAATATCAACAATTATTATTAAACTAGTGAAGAAAAATAAATATCAACAATTATTATTAAACTAGTGAAGTGTGAGCAGACAGACTCAAAAGAGACCATAGAGTGTGACTGTGTGAGCAAACTACTGAATGTGGAGGGTGGAAATCGGGTGCTTTGCATTATGAACTACTTAATCTCACTCAAAGCTATCAATAATACATATATAAAGTAGTGTTTTTTTCTCGGGTAAAACATCAATGACTTGGTATGAGGCACAAACAAATACACTGAAAGAAGCACAAAAATTTGACTTTTTGTAACCAGAACCTGAGAAATAGCATCTTTAAAAGAAAAGAAAAGAGAAAAACAGTTCTACCAACATCAGTTTCATGTTCCAAAATAATCAAACTTTCCTCCTCTCCCTCCCATTTGTGTAACTTCAACTTCCTGTCTTACATCTGATGTGTGTGATGATGACTGACCTTCCCTGTGAGGTCCTACAGTATGGCCTGATCCCATTGGACTGCCTTGTCCCATATAATTGGGCGGTGATGTCATTTGTCCAGGATGTTCCACGAAATGAGACTGTTGTACCATTTGCCCACCCTGATGTGCCATAAAATTTGGAGGTGATGATTGATAGGTTGTATGATTCTGCCAGGAATGCTGACTTGGTGGCAGTTGGTGAGCTAGAGGCTGCTGTCTAGGCATCTGAGGTTGCCTAGGTCGCGGATTTGGAAAATATCCTGGGCTTTTGTTAAATAGTGACTCAACCTCATCTCGCCTGCCGTGTTTCCCAAATTCCTCCAACAGGTATGCCCTGAAATCAGGGGTGACCCCAACTCCATAGTTCACCATCTGACTCACCAGATTAAAACCAGCATCGTAATTTCCACCATCACATAGCGCCCTAATCACAACATCATAGGTCATAACATCCACCCTTGGTTCTCTTTCGCCCATCTTAGTCAGGATCGGTACACATTCCATAGCCTTACCTTTGTTAATCAAGAAACCAAACCACTTGTTAGCATGAACAGGAATGACTCTCAACCCTGCCTCCACCATTTTTGTGTATTTGTCTAGCACACCCTCAATGTTCTCCAGCTTAATATAAGCCTCTATCATTGTTCTGTAAGTAGTTACGTCAGGATTCAAAGATTTACCGCACAACTCCATATAATACCTCTCTGCATCTTCCATCATTCCAAGTTCGCAAAGCCTAGTGATCATGTTGTTGAAACCGGCGACATCCATTGCAAAAGGTTTTGACTTTGCACTCTTTCCGGCCTTCTTGAAAGTCTCCATAGCCTCTGAAACCTTCCCTAATTTAAAACACTCATTCACCATGATATTGAAAGTGTCAGAATTAACTGCTTGGAATACAGGGGGTGTGTGATCATCTAACATGGCATCAAACAAATCCAACGCCTCTTTTTTCTTCCCATGCTTTAACAAAACCTCAAGTAGCGCATTACAGGTCACAGGTACCATTCTGAACTTTCTGTCTAAAAGATCCTTGTAGCAGTCCATGGCCTCCCTATCCCTCCCTTGTTTGAAAAACCAATCCATGAAAGTTGAGTTCACGGTTCCATCATAAACCAAACACCTCTCTTTAAGCTCATCAAACAGCTCGTTTGCTTTCTCCAAATTTCCCAATTCCAGAAACCCTAAAATCAAATTATTGTACACCAGAGAGTCAGCCCCATGCCCCTTGTTGAGCATTTCCCGGAGAAAATCAACTGCTTCATTTATCCTGCCTGAGTCTATTAGACCCTTAGTCAGATGGCGATAGGACACATACGAAGGGCTAAAAGGGGCGTTTTCAATGATATGGTGGTACACTTTTATGGCTTCATCAACTTCCCCCGATTCGCAATGGGAAACAATTAGGTTGTTGTAGGATACTACATTGGGGATGATGTTAGACTGATTGAAGAAATACTGGAACAGGGCCTTAGCATCGTTATACCTGCCGGCGCGGTACATGGCGGCGATGATGGCGTTGCAGGTGAAGACCGTGGGGCGGGTGTTTGAGAACACCGCGTGACGAGCAACAGCTGCAGCGGAGTCGAGATCCCCGGCTCGAATCAGAGACTGCACGCGATTGTGAAGGTTGAGTCTAGGCCCAACGAGTGCGGACGTGGAGTCAGGGAGGCGAGATCGGGGATCGTCGGAGGGAGGAGGCCTCGGAACATTGTCCCGACGAAGTGCCCCAAGCGGTGGCTCGATACGTAGACGGCGCTTCCTGCGACGGCGCTCAGCTGCGGCCTCCTCGGCAGAGGAGAAGGCAAATGATCTGTGCGGGAGGAGAAAGCTGGGATTTTGTATGCGATTTGCTGAAATGAGCTGAGTTTGGTTGGCGGCGGCGACACTCCCCGTGGCGGTACGGCGGAGAGAACGGAGTATAGTTCGATACATCCTTCTATGCTTATGCCAGAACTTAGAGATGGCGGATCAGAAACCCTAATCGATCGAAAAAGACTCCGATGGGAAAATAAGGGTTTTGTAAATTGTAACCTTAAACCCTTTCGTCCATCGAACATACGGAGTACACATTTTCTAAGTTAAATGTTTGTCATATGAATGTGGTCTGATGAAGGGTGCGACCATTGGGTGAAATTCAATTACACAAAATCTGATCTTTTAAGGTTTTTTTTTATAAATTATTACTGCTAAAACATTATACAAAAAAGTAAAAATGTGATTTACTACGTAGTATTTTTGTATTTCAAATTTACACCATAATGATTACAACATTTGCATGATATTAGTGGAATACTTCGTATTTCATAAGAAAAGATTATTAATAAATTACGGAGTGTATATAATTTGATACTTATGCTTCGAAATTTATACTTGTGTTATATGAATCGACATTAATCTAAATGAATGTCTTCAACCTAGGAACTTATACTTACTCTTGAATGTCTTTTCAAGAAAAGAAGGGACATAGAGGAATTAATATACTTAGAGCATGCCAACATGCTCATTAAGGAACACGCCGACGTGTTCACTATGGAGCACGTTGATGTGATCGATGATCATGATTCATTAAATATTTAAATTAAATGAGTCTTTACCATTCATCATGTCAACGTGCTTCATAATGAACACATTGACAACTCAGATGATGAGATGAGTAAGAATGAATTGGTCTTTATAAAGATTACAAAATACTCGCCACTCCTTTCTAATAGCCTAATATTATAATAGCCTAATATTAAATTAGGAATACTTTGTATTTTTGGAAACTCTCTTTATTATAAATATATCTGTCAGGTACCCTATTAGGGTAACCTTTCCCATTATTTCACATGGTATCAAGAGCTTGATTTTTTTCCTCTCTCTCTTCAAACCCTCGACCGATACTATGAGCTCGGCCGACTCTTCTGCCGTAGCCGGTGTTTCACAAATCACCGCCATCTCCTCTTCCATGGTGACGTCCTCCTCAACTACGGCGTCGGTTTCCTCTCTCCCTACTGACGCTGCCGTAGTTCTTACCAGCGCCGCTACAACCTTGACAGCGCCGCAGCAGGTACCTCCCTCTCAACCAGCATCGGCCCTGCAGATGGACTCCTCTCCGTTCGTTACAGATGGTCCTGGGACTTATTCTCTATTTCAACAACTTCCACCGTTGTTCCCGTGACAGCCCCCTGCCATAACCGAACCACATGGGTTCTTTTCTACTCCTATGCCGACCACACACCCTCGGCCATGCTCAAGTCCGGGGTATTTTGGTTCCACTTTTTCTGGTACACCTGGACTGTCTAGACCGGCAGACTCTTCACTGTTCCAGTCCCCAATGGCTGCCGCTGCACAGTCCCTCTCCAATCTCCAATGTTACTCAAATTGTCACAATCAAACTCAAGGCGGTTGAAGACTATATTACATGGCGCACCCAGTTTGAGTCTTTTCTCGTCTCTCAAGGTTTGTTTAGTTATCTGGATGGCTCCACACAGGTACCGCCGATGTACACGGTTGATTTTAATAATCACCGAATTATTAATACTGAGTATTATCATTGGTTAAGGGTTGATCAAACCATTCGTTCCTGGATTTTTGCTACCCTTACTCATGATGTATTAATCGATGTACATGAACTTAAACATGCTTTTGAGATTTGGGAAAGACTACAAACTCGTTTTCGTTCTGCTAGTTTGGCTCGTTCAATGGCTCTTAAACGTAACTTGACCAATATGAAAAAGAAAGAAAATCAATCCATGGAAAATTATCTACGGGAAATTCAATATTTAGTGGGTGAATTAGCTGCCATTAACTCTCCCGTGCCCCACAAAGAAATTCTTCAAATCACTCTAATGGGGCTTGGACCGGAATATGAGTCTACTATGGGAACTATTTCCATTTTTCTGGATAATTTTCCGCCAGATATTCTTCATCGGAGCCTGTTAGAAGCTGAACAGCGGGTCCTCTTTCTTCGTCAACAGTCTGCACCTCCTGCCTACCAGGCCTTCGGTGTTCAAGAACGTGGACCTGCACAACGTGGTGGCCGGGGTGGCCGCGGCAGAGGAGGCCGCGGCAGAGCTGGACGAGGCAGAGGCTGAGGTGGCCAGGATCAGCAACACGCTCTCGGCCAGGCATACCAGCCAGCTCACGGCCAGCAGCAGCAGCAACCAGCACAACCTGGGAACCACCAGGCCTTCGGCCAACAGCTTGGAGGGCACCAACCGAGATCTCTAAATGCAGGTTATATGAGTAATTCGGTTTTGTCAACTTTAAATGCTATTGTTATATCATTTTGTGGTACTAATGTTAAGTCTACAGGCCCTTCATCTGCTGAGGGAATCCTTGGGGCAATTCCCCCTCCCGTTGTGTGTCAAATTTGTTTTTCTGCAGGTCATTCTGCCATAAGCTGTCCTTCCCGATTTTCTCCATCCACTGCACCCGTTCTTCTCACCGGTCAAGCTAATGAAGCTCTATGGTATCCAGATACTGGTGCCTCTGCTCATATGACTTCTTCTGAAGGTCTTTTGACAAATAAATCTATTTATTCTGGTCCAACTATTGTTAATGTTGCTAATGGTGATCAACTTCCTATAAAACATGTTGGTGATATTTTTCTAAATTCTTCTGGCCGGCCACTACTATTAAAATTTGTTTATCAAGTGCCTAATATTAAATTCAATCTAATTTCAATTCAAAAATTGTGTGCTGATAACAATTGTGTTGCTATTTTTGATAAAAATTCCTTTTTTGTTAAGAACAAAACTTCGGGGGCGGTTCTTCTTCAGGCAACAACTAATGGTCATCTCTACCCTTTCAGCTTGTGTCCACCATCTAGCCTAGCTCTATCTTCCGTCCTCACCACTGGCCATGTGTGGCATCGTAGATTAGGTCATTGTGGTGAAAATATTTTACTTATTTTAAGCAATCAAAAACGCATATGTAATAGCTCTAGTTTTTCTCATGACTGTATTTCCTGCCGGTTAGGCAAGTCTCAACGATTACCTTTTTCTGATGCTATTCATACTTCTTCTTCTCCCTTGCAATTAATTCATTCAAATGTGTGGCAATCTCTTGTTCTTTCCAATTTGGGATTTAAATATTATGTCTGCTTTATTGATGATTTTTCTCATTTCACATGGGTGTATCCCTTACGTGCTAAAAACGAGGTTTTTGACTCCTTTAAAAAATTTTAATCATTAGTTGAAAACCTTTTTAACACTAGAATTAAAATTTTTCAAAGTGATGGAGGGGGTGAATTTGTTAATTCTAATATGTAACAATTTTTTAATTCTCATGGAATTTATTTTCAAAAATCATGCCCTCATACTCCCCAACAAAATGGGCTTGCTGAGCGTAAACATCGACATCTACTTGAACTAACTCGGACAATGCTTATTGAAGCATCTCTTCCTAGTTCCTTTTGGGTTGATGCGCTGTTTACGGCTGTATACATCATTAACAGATTACCCACTCCAACACTTTCTGGTTTGTCACCGTATGAAAAACTTTTTCAAAAATCCCCTGATTTTTCCCTCTTACGTGTTTTTGGATGTGCATGCTTTCCTAATATTGATGCCACTTCTTCTAATAAACTTTCTCCTCGTTCTATTCAATGTGTTTTCTGGGATATGCATCTGGTTATAAAGGTGATCGTTGTCTTGACCCTAAGACTGGTAAGGTTTACATTAGCCGTCATGTGCGTTTTTGTGAGAATATTTTTCCATACACAACCTTGACTTCTTCTACGCCTGCTTCTTCCTCCTCAACAGACCAAATCATTGAACCCATTTTACCTCTATCTTCCTGGAATAGTCTGTCACCCAACCTCTATGACCCTTCTCGGCCAACTACACACACAGACCATGCTCCGCTCGAGACCTCGGCTCCCACTGTCCACGACCCACAACCTGCTCAACCACCCCTCAGCCCAAATTCCCCACTTCACGCCTCCACTTCACCAAACCGATCACCACAGTCAACTCCCAGCCTTGTTCCCTTCTCTCGTTCCTCGGCCCAAAACTCTACCTATGATCAGTTCCATGGAACCCCATCGAAAGATGCCAGCCCAGTACACGTCCCAAGTCTCTCCTCTCCAGATAGCCAGCCTACCTCCACGTCCTCAAACAGTAGCTCCAGCGCAGCAACTGTAACCGAACCGCCTGCTCCTCCTCCCACTAATGTCCACCCGATGCAAACTCGGGCCAAATCAGGAATTTTTAAACCCAAATCTATTTTTAATCTCAACACAGTTGCAATTTCAGCAGATCCCACTTGTTTTTCTGAGGCAAATAAACAGTTAAAATGGCGTAAGGCTATGGTTGAGGAGTTTAATGCAGTTATTGTTAATCATACATGGGATTTGGTACCATTTGATAATTCTAAAAATATTGTTGGATCAAAATGGATTTATAAGACAAAATATCTATCTGATGGGTCTAATGAGCGCCATAAGGCACGATTGGTTGCTCAGGGCTTTAATCAGCAACCTGTTGTGGATTTTTCCGAAACTTTTAGTCCAGTTATTAAACCCACCACCGTTCGTACTGTTCTTACTTTAGCAATTTCTTTTGGGTGGGTTATGCGTCAACTCGATGTTAAAAATGCCTTCCTTCATGGACATTTAACCGAAGAGGTTTATATGCGTCAGCTAGGGCTGAGCAAAACCCGAAAAGACCCGCAAAACCCGAAGTTTTTTTCGGATAATATCCGAACCGAAATGGATATCCGACCCGAAAACCCCGAAACCGAAAATCCGATTAGTATTGGGCCTAGATCGGGTGGCGGGTAGGGTTTGTAAAATCCCAACCCGACCCGCCCGAATATCCGAAATATATTAGTGTGTACTTTGAATATGTTAAATTAATACTTGTGTTCAATTATTTGTGTAATTATTTATGCAATTTTTGTTAAATTATTTTTGTAATTTGAATGTGTAGTGCACTAGTGTGTACAATTTTTGTGAAAGTGACATTCCAACACTTTAATTATCCAATTATAATGTGTTTTAATATATCCGAAATATTTGAAATATATTAAATTATGTAGTGTGTACTTTGAATATGTTAAATTAATACTTGTGTTCAATTATTTGTGTAATTATTTATGCAATTTGTATTAAATTATTTGCGTAATTTGAATGTTTAGTGCACTAGTTTGTAGAATTTTTGTCAAAGGGGCATTCAAACACTTTAATTATCCAAATATAATTTTTTTTAATATAACCGAAATATCCGAAACCCGATCCGATATCCGATAATATCCGACTTACAAATATCCGAAAAACCCGATTTGAAATATCAAAAGGGTCGGGCCTAGTATTTAACTTAAAAAACCCGAACGGGTTTAGGGTACGCAGACCCGACCCGCCTGAACCCGACACATGCTCAGCCCTAGCGTCAGCCGCGGGGTTTTATTCATCCTCAGTACCCTCATCATTTGTGTCGCCTACGCAAGGCTATTTATGGTCTGAAACAGGCCCCTCGGGCCTGGTTTCATCGGTTCAGTAGCTTTCTGCTTACTCATGATTTTTTATGTAGTAAGTCAGATTTTTCTCTCTTTTTTTTATTTACTTACTGTTATATGTGGATGACATTATTATTACTGGCAATTCTTCGTCTATTGTCTCTGAATTTATTCATCTTATTGCTCGTCATTTTGCCATGAAAGACTTAGGTGATCTCCATTATTTTCTTCGCAGTAAGGCCACTCGTAATAGTAAAGGTTTGTTTTTCTCTCAGCACAAGTATGTCTCTGACCTTCTCTCCAGGTTTCATTTACACAGTATCAAGTCTGTTCGTACTCCTCTTGCGTCTCGTACTTCCTTGTCTCTCACAGATGGTGAGTTGCTTGTAGATGCGACTGAATATCGCAGCATGGTAGGTGCATTACAGTATTTAACTTTGACAAGACCTGATATTACTTGTGTTGTGCATTTAGTCTCTCAGTTTATGCATGATCCCCATACTACTCATCTTTTTGCTGTCAAGAGGATTTTCAGGTATTTGCAGGGTACCATTGATCATGGTCTATGGCTCCAGCCTACACCTAAGGCAACATGTCTTATTGCATATTCAGATGCAGATTGGGCTGGCTGTCCTGACACTTCTCGCTCTACCACTGGTTATGTTGTCTTTCTTGGACCAAATCTTGTGTCTTGGAAGTCCAAGAAGCAACCTACTGTTTCTAAATCTTCTACAGAAGCAGAGTATCGTGCTATTGCCTATACGGTGCAGGACACACTTCACATTCGGTATATTCTATTCGAGCTTGGTTTTCCTATCACATCTCCCGTTCGTTTGTTCTGCGATAACATCTCTGCATCCTACCTGACGGCGAATCATGTTCAGCATGCACGGAGTAAGCATATCCAGATTGACTATCACTTTGTGCGTGAACGGGTGACTCGTGGTGATCTTGTGGTTAAATATGTACCTACTAGTCTTCAGCTGGCAGATATATTCACTAAGAGTCTGTCTAGTCAGCAATTTCATTTTTTAAAGCACAACCTGCGCGTTGTATCTCCCGCACAGTTTGAGGGGGTGTAATAGCCTAATATTAAATTAGGAATACTTTGTATTTTTGGAAACTCTCTTTATTATAAATATATCTGTCAGGTACCCTATTAGGGTAACCTTTCCCATTATTTCACACTTTCCCCTTCTTCAGTGAAGGATCACAATTTTACGTTCTCTGACGGGCACACGTTCTACTTGGGCTAGACCGCTTCATTGGGTCAATCATCCGAAGTCCCGAACCAATGGTGTATTGGTGTCCAAGCTCTAGCAATCCTACTATTGTGTCTAGGATGGGCTCAGAGTTTGGGCCACCCAGCCCATGGATCTGGACCCTTATGGGTACTGTTGGGCCAATACCCATACACCCGTAATATGGAATTAAGTTATGATGATACTCTCTGGTGGCATTAATTAATATTTAAAATGTGAATACATAGACATTGATTTGATATATAGTTATATACAACCATAAAAGAATTATAAATGAATATACATTGTTCAAAAAGTAATAGGAGACATCTAAATAAACTATAATCAAATTCCAAGAAAACCTGTTGTATTTGTAACAAGCCAAAAACTATATAAAAACAGAAGCAAAGAAAAGAATTATAAAAAGGACTTTCCTTTCTCAACTAATTCCAAGAGCTTCCCAGTGCCATAACGGAGCAGCTCCTCCTGTACAGTAATGTTGTTCTTGTTGTGCTTTGTTTACTTAAATGGATCAACCCAACATTTATCCTGTTGGGCGGCCCTCTTCCACCGATTATCGAAAGCCTTCATTTCATCATAGGATCGCTTCCTTACCTGTAGGAACATATGAATCATAACGTTAATTTCGAAACAAAGTTGCGGTGCAGCAAGAGAAATATCCATGACACATACCTCAGGTCTGTTATTGTTATTATCTGTTTTATGGACTGATGGTGGAGTTCCCTGTAATGTCAAACAGAATTTTCAATCAGATACAATAGGAAATCACATGGATTGTTACAGGAAATTTGAATGTAGGGGTTCGTTTGGTAATGATTATATCGCTGAAATATCTGCTGACTATTTCAGTCAAAAGTAAACCAGCTACCAAACGGAGCCCTAGTCTAGTTCATAGACACTCAGATGTACCATTGCTTCTGAATCAGTGAAGTTCTTTCTTGGCCGGGAAAGCTCGGGAGAACTCAGCTGTATAAATGTCTGTACTAGTCAAACTAACTTCTTTTCCTAAGAAAATATCCATTTTCTAGTCTTAGGTGTAGTTTGGTAAGACGCAGTTAAAATTTGATTGAAATGTTATTCCCTCTGCCCCTGAATTATCTTTCAAATTTTCCTTTTCGTCCGTCCCAAACCTATCTTCACTTTCCCTTTTTGGCAAAGAATTTGTGGTTCACAACAATTCTTACACATTTCTCTCTCCTCTGTCCAACTCTCCACCACACAATACTCACTATCTTAATCCCCGTGCCAAATGTACTTCGGATGATAAATTAGGGACGGAGGGAGTACGACTTATTACAGTCACGTGGGTCAACCAAGCTACGCCTAAGAATGGAAAAGGAGGAAACCAAGTTGAAGCAAGCAGCAAAATATAAACTTGCCTTGATTCTATGAGAATCACCACCAAGTGTAGGAAGACCCAAATGGTATATATACTCTGCATCAACAATTCCAACTTTTTTTGTCCTATCACCCTGTAGACAACAAAATGGACTATAAAGTAAATCATCACATGAAAGAAACAATAATTAAATAAATGGAGTATAACGTTATGAAAAAAATCACCTGTGAACAATAGCCAAGCTTTTTATCCAAACCCCACGCGTGAATAAAATCATTCTGTTGTATGAAAAAGAAAAATAATATAAGAATCATATTACATCAATTGTGAGATCATCCGTATACCTTAAATTCAGAGAGCCTATAGTAAGTAACTTGTTATACCTGAATCATGTACCATGCGCAACGCCAAGCAGCTTTCGAAAATACAGGAGCCATCATTTCTACCCATCTACATTCACGGTATAATTACAAAACAACTCGAATGTAAAATTTCTGATGCCATAACATTATTAAGAAATGGAATTATCCTAGAGGTTATAGGGCCCGCAAGATCGTGACTTGTTGATGCAAACTAATTTTTTTTTTTGAGAATAAATGGAATTTATTGATCGAGTAAATCATTAGCCAGATGGCTTACAATATTTAAAGGGGGTGTACCCCAAGAAACTATACGATTAGACAAACAAACAGCAACCCTAGCAAGCGCATGAGCTACTCGATTCGCAGACCGTCTCACATGTGATACCTTAATTTTCGCATTTGATGCGATCATGAATCTAATATCATCTATAATAAGATCAAATTGATGCAAACTAATTTTAAGAACCAAGAGTTGAATAGTTTTTTTGACCTTTGATCTTAATATACTCTAATACAATATTCAGAATTGGAATTTTATTCTAAAAAAGGTTAACAATAATTGGAGTGCCTTAATGTATTCATGTACATTGATCAACATTTTTATATTTTGTTGTGATAGATGATTTAACAAAGGAAAGTAGGTACCCCATTTCAAAAGTAAAATTTTAAGCGAGAAAGCACGCAATTCCTTACCCTACACAAGGAGGAGCACTACTGTTGCTTTTGCATCCATTGGCATTGGATGTAACAAACCTCCTGGTCAGAGAAACAGCTTGTAAAAGATCAGTATTTTTTTATACCAGCAAAAAAATGAATCATTTTCATTTTTTCATTTTCATTTACCCCAGTGCCGCAAAGGCTCCCACCTACGGTGGGGTAAGGGGGGTCGGATGTATGCAGTCTTACCCCTGTACTAAAGCACAGAGAGACTGTTTCCGGATGACCCATAGTGAAAATCACGTCCGAAATTGCATGGACTGACTGTTGCTTCATAACAAAGAAGCGCGGACAGTTTAGTGAGCCATTTTGCTTTATTCCATCATATTCTCAAGCCAAAAAATAATGAATCTTTGGCTCCATTGCAAATGATGGAACAAAGCAAAAAAATGAATGAGTAAATAAAAATAAAAAATAAAAAACCGAACCTGTGAACTTTAGAATTCCTTTTGCGCACTGTAATACGATGATGCACCTCCGATTTATGAAGATCGAGTCCAGGCTGAGATATTTCAAGACCCTCTTCTTTCACAATTGATACATACCTGCAAAAAAAAATAATGATGTTCAGAATTGGCCAATATTGTTTTATTAATATGAAACCAGGTACATTCAAACATATATATATATATATAACAAGGTACCCAATTAATAAGAAATAAGTACCTTTTAGGGTGAAAATTTTCTACTCCAAGGTCCTCATCCCATAGGAAGATATACTCATATTCAGTAACTATATCTGGGTGCAAAAAACGCTTCGCAAACCACCTGCAAATTAACACTCGGGATGAGTAAACGACACACATAGAGGAATATGAGAGCAAATGTGATTTGACCCATTGTTCATTATGGCCACTAGAGTGATGGGTTATGATGTATGGAAACTCGTTAGAGGTGCTAAGGGGGGTGGGGACGAGAATGGGGGGTAGATAATGAGTTGTATTCAAGGATGGAAATATCTGTCAATAGTTTAATTTTGAAACTTCCGTATTAGAGGTCAGCTATATCAATATGAGAGGCAAAGAATACCTCTATGATATCAAAGACAGGTTGGAAAATCTCAAGGAATATTTAAAAATACAAAAACATTTTGATAACTACCAAAACACATATCTGAAATATTAGTAATCTCATTATATTTTCTCAAAAAACTTGCAAAATGTAGTTTTCTTCCAAAAAATGATATCTATATTGAAACATCCAATGAAATTTCCATAGCTTCAGAGTATTGAAATGAAGTAAAACATACCATTTTGTTTGATTCACGGCAGATACATGTATGACTTTCTTACTCCATTCAAGATCATTCCATTCATCGACAACACCGTCATAATGAAATAGCATCACACCAAACTCATCCTCTAGAAACTGCAGAAGTACATAACGAACAAGTGAGAAGATGACAGCATACAAAATAAAAACTAGGATGGGAAGAGAGAGGAGAGTCACCATCTTAACGATTTGGTTCACTAACTCTTTTTGCTTTATCCCAACAGGAATGGCCAGCAAACTCACCTGATGGTTTGACTCCTCCTGCATCAAATATAGCGCACATACTTTTAAGATCACAAACACAACTTTCACTACCAGAGAGTCATTAATAGACATAGGTAAGACGCTTTTAACCTTTTCGGTGAGTGGGCCCCACAAGGGGTGCATTTCCAAATTTGATGTTGCCGAAACAATCCCCTCCGGAAGTGCCTCACTACCAATAGGCCTGCATTTTTCCTAATCGATAGAAACTGATAAGTTTTATGAACCAAAAAAATGAGAGAAATCTTCAACAATATAAAGGGCAATACGAAGTTTAAAATATGTTACCATGCATTTACCAGTCTCGAAATTATTTTTGGTGTCATTTATTTTTACATCCATTGCAGATGAAACCTAGATATCAATTTCATTTATTCAATGAGTATATTGTTCATGCAAGGAAATTGTCAAGTGTGATTAATAGATCATATATTTACTAAAAAGTAAACCAACAACCAACCTCATTTCTACACGATTTAGCACTTTGTTTTGAGTGACTTGTTCCAGACCGGAAAGGTATCTGCACACAGTTACTTTTGTCAAATATAGTTACTTCTGATAACCAAACAAGGCATGGCTGCCCTTTTTTTCTTTATCTTTTTTAATGACAAATAAAACAAATAAATTGAGAGAAACTATTTGCCTTAAATTCTCTTCCAAAATATACATTTGCTGTGAAGTATACACTGCAAATTAGCGCAATGGTGACAAAAAGACTGCAGAGGCATGATCTAGTTTTAGGATCTGACAGTGCAGAAGAAACCTGGAAAATTAATACAACAGATATTATCAGATATTACCAAACAAATTCTATAACATATTTAAATCCCATAACAATTCTTAAAAACGCAAACATGTATTTAATGGCATTGCATACACAAGGATGTGTTTCCGTCATTTGCCCTCCCCCAAAAAACAATTGTAGAGATATACATTTTATGTAGCTAATTAAGGGAAGTATAATCTTCGTATTGATTACACATGGTACAAAAAAATCTTGCCAGGTCCTGTTCTCAAAAATTTAAGGATACTCATTCAATGTACTAAAACCCAAGCTAGTGAACCAACACACTGGAAAGCCAAAAAAAACTAAATTGAGAAGAGGACATAACAAATTCTCTCTTTTTAATTTTTTTATGTTGAGGCTATGTCTCGAACTATTAGCGATTCTGCAATTAGACCCTTGAACCGGAAGACCATGGAAATACACCCTCGACCCATTGATATAAAGCAATCAAGCCCTTTTTACCTATTGATACAAGTAACTTCTCGCAAGAAAGTTACCGTTTTACCGGCACGAGCCGGTAAAAAAAGGATCCAATTGCTTTGTTTCAATGGGTCGCGGGCATATTTGCAAGGTTTTTCTGTTCAAGGGACTGATTGCATAATAGCTCATAGTTCTAGGGCTTATTTGACCCTTTTTCTCCAAATTTATATGCTTGGTTTAACCCTGGAAAATACAGACATATCAAATATAAATAAAACTTTTAAGAAAATCATTTACATTAGATTTCTCAGATTTATGAATCGTATTATCGTAATGATAGAAAAATCAGAAAAAATAAGTTTGACCAATTATCCAAAATATCTATGAAATTTGAACCAGCTATGTTCCTTCTCAAGTTTTCTTTCCTTCCTATATCTTCATTTCAAACGGACCCTGAATGCTTAGTAGAAGGTAGAGATGGTCACAGACTAATAAAGTATGTTGTGTATAAGCAATTGGTGAAAGAACATATTAAAAAACTCAAGAATAACACATGCCAGTTAGACTAACTATTATAAAAAGCCACCCTTTCCCGTAAAGTTCCCAATGTAAAGTTCATATTTTTTCAGTTTTTCACTTTTTCACCAACCCATAAAGTCAAAATTTGTGATTTAGATGATAGAGTAATTAGCAACAGAAATTGGAACTGAAACTAATTAAAAAACATCATTTAACAGCAACAGATGACAAAAAAATGTTTACTTACAGAGCTGAACGGCTTCATGGTGATCAGAGGATCAAAGGCGGCGCTAAGAAGCAGAGGAAAAAAAAGGCAGCTTTTTTTCAAGAACCCGAACAAGGAATGGAATTCAAAAAAGTGGGTGTGGTCTTCGTGTAAAGGGAAAGGAAAGGCATAACTCGAAAGCGTTTGGAAAGAAGGCAATAAAAGGTATATTTGAATCAATCCGTATCAAGCACAGAATCAGCCGCTTTAAATGATCCTTCTACCTCCGCATACGACGTCGCTTTGTCCAAACAACAACCTCGGACGCCCAAAAGAGCTTCTTTTTCAAAACTTCCGCCAACGCTTGCTTTGTTTGAACTGGTAGAAAGAGGAGAGAGGTAACAGAGAAGAACTCCGTAGAAAGCAAGTCAGATTAGTTTTGGGAGAGTTGGACTGGAGAAAGATGGTCGCGTGGAAGACGGAGGGCAGAAATGGAACGGCGTGAGAAGAAGGTAAGCACGAACACTCACTCGCCTTCTGATTCGACCGCGTGGCATCATGTTCGGCCTCCAACGGTTATTGTATGGTTTTGGGAGTTAAGATTGCACTTGTCTTATTAATATTAAAAAAAAAAAGCTAAATTCATGTCAGTATATGAATAATATGTACCAAGCTCTACAATAATAATCTCTATCAAAGATGTTTATACAAATAATCCGAACTCATAAACATGTCTATATAGATAGATTAAATCTTTCATGAGTAGAAGATCAGTCTCCTGATTTTATATACTCCCTCCGTAACAAAAAAAATCTCATTTTCTTTTTTGGTCTGTTTCAAAAAAAAATCTTCACATTTCAAAATCTTCTTATCATACTCTCGATAATTCTGGAAATAATATGAATTACACTATTACAACTAATTCTTTTGGATGTATCCTACATTTCATCACATTATTCCACTATCTTCTCATCATACCCTTAATAGTTCTTATCATCTTTCATTATTCTTAATCTACCTACTTTTGAAATGGGAAGATATTTTTTGTTACGAAGGGAGTATCCTTTAAGAAAATAATTATAATTATGATATAAAAACACTAAACACAAATTTATGACAAGAGTGAACAAAGTCACGGAAAAATCTTTTTTAAGAATTGGTTATTTGTTCTACCAAATTTCCTAACTAAGAGCTAACTAGGTCGATAAAACATAATTCTGTTTCTTAAATGAATTCATTTAACCATAAGTACTAATTCACAATCCATTTATTTTCAAAATAAACTCAAAAGATCAGTACATGAATATCAAACGAAGTGTGTTGATTATCATGTCATTAAGATGTGATGACAATCTTCTCAGATTGAGGTATTTCAAGACGAATGTGTGAAGAAAATCAAATGGTTTCATAAGATAAGAAAATTCAACTTTAAAAGGGAAAATAAGTGTAGTTGAGAGGGAGAAGATGTATGGTACACTAGAGGTGGATGAGCTGGGTATAAGAGCAATATGAAACTGAACACCTCCTTTTTAATTTAATCTATCTAAATTTAGATTATTTGTATAGACATTTTCGGGAGCGATTCTTTTTTTTTTTGTATAATTGTTAAAAGTACGGATTTATTGGTATGAATTTCGCTAAAAAAAATGAAAGGCACGTATCGCTAAGGGCTCAGCACCGACCGAAAAGTTAACTTGGATGATCTAAATTAGATTTTAATCACAAATTCACAAAATAGCGAGTGAGATCCAAGTACTTGCAGAAGCCCTATACATTTTTATATATTAACCTCTCATCGCACTTATCAAGATTTTAACTCCTTGTAAGGGTACCCCTATCTACCAGTTGAGTTACACCCACTGACTACTTGTCTTAATATTATGTGTGTATATATATGGCACCTAATTTTTTAAAGATAACAAAATATGACTTTTATGTAGTACTTATAATCTGAGTTCCATTTACGTCAGTGACCAATGCAGGTCAATAATGACCAGGAGACAGTGGCATGCCGCTCCGAGTGACTTGATGTCTAGTGACCCGCTGCTCTCACTGACCCGTTGTTGGCCACCAATGACCCATCTCTCCTAGTGACTTGTCGTGAAAATTCTAGATAATTATGTGAATCTAGACATTCCAAGCAGCCGGTTAAGCATTGTTGGCAGGCAATTCACTAGGCACCTTAGGTGGCGACCGTCTAATTCACCTAGGCTCCAAGCCAATTAGTCAGAGCGCCTGCACCCGTCTAGTCTAGACGAGGACTAGTCGGCACCTAGAGCGATTTTTAGAATAGTGGTGAAACTTAAATAAGACTCGAGTGTTTTTTCCTCAAAAATATGACTGAAATGAAACTTATCAGCAAAAATGTGATTAAAGTTATTACAGTATAGTCTCATAGCCACTTAAGTGTAAAAGTTGAACATAAATTACTATGAATAAGTTGCTGTTATGAGGTCATGTTTTATAAACAAAATTTATTTTAATTATATATATATATATGTAATTATTTCATTTTTGTATATCACTTACAAAGTTAAAAAAACACCAAAGACAAAAGAGACAATATGAAACTATTAGAAAAGAACTAAGGGGGTGTTTGGATCTGATTCTTAAAACTGCTTCTGCTTCTTCTGGGAGCAGAAGTAGAAGTTGGAGTGTTTGGGTGAAAGTTCAGAAGTGATCTGATGCTCTAATTTACTCCCAGAATCAATTTTTCTAGAAGTTGGGGGATACCAGCTTCTGAAAACTGATTCTGCTTCTGCTTTAAAAAAGAAGCAGAAGCAAAATCAGTTCCAAACACCCCTAAAACATGGGCATATACGAATGAAGCGTGAGTGGTTTGAAAAAAAGACATTTTCTTATTAAAGTCAATTTTGCAAAAATAGTAAAAAACGTCATTGATTTTGATTTTTCTATCACTATAAATTAAAGAAGGAGAATACATGAACACACAAGCCTTTTTTCTAAAAGAATAGATTGAATTAATTTTTTAATTTTTTTGAAGATATATATGATAAACATTTGCAACATATTTATCATTAATTGAATGATATTTTTTATAATTGCATGTACATCTATTATTGATACAGTAATTATTTTATGTTAATCTTGCATAAACAAATGGACCGGACCTTTTAGGAATATGTGACAAAAACAATACAGGTAAACTCGGATTGGCATATACATTACTTGTTGATACAAAATTAATTCTATATACTTCATTGGAATATATATTATTCAAATACGTAGTATTGATTTATGTTAAATAAGTATAGGTTTTTATTATAAAAAAAAAGTATAGGTTTTAGACATTTAGTGTCAAACGCTCGCCTAGAAAATCGCAAATGTCAAACTGAGAACTTAATTAAAGGACAGTCGCCGGACAGAGGGAGTATAATATATGAATTAGTAACTTTATGATTTTTTAAAAACTCGCATTTTTTAAAATCATCACTATACATAGGATTGCATGTAAAGAGTTGTGATTGTGAGGAGTGAGGACGAGATTGATGTACATGTCAGCATCTATAACTTCTTATAAACTAGTTCTTGCCAGGCTCATTATTTTGCGTAAAATATATAAGTGAATTTATTTTTATTTTAGAGCGAATAGAGTAAAAAATGTGGATTCCTCGCCAATTCAACATACTTGTGAAGTGAAAAGACCCCCTCATCAATCTATTAAGAGGCAAGACTAGTCATGACAACGATCAGGACACGACCCGTGACTTTATTAAATGTACCTGCCCCGTAACCTATACGGGTCATTATAAGTTGGCACATGGCCCCTTTGTAATCTAATTAGCTAATATGCATCTTAATTTGCGTGAAAGTCATTATATATTGATTTTTTACATAAAGTTTACCTCAAAATAATTAGACAAACACTATTATAATAAAAAATGTCACAATACAAACAAAGTGTCAAATTATAAAAAGCATGTAAACTTGAATATTTAATCTATTTATATTAATAAATGAATATATAAAATGCTTATTATGAAAAGAACATTGACAGTTAATGGTTCATCTTGCTCAAATATAAATAGTAGTAGTTGCAAGGTAGATGTATATTTGTAGTATAATGTAAACTTAAATATGAACGTAGGTCGACACGATCAATACAAGGGCAATGCAATGTCAGATCGCGGCAGGTCGACACGGTTAATATTAATATCCAGACCCGCTGCATTGTGTGCACGAGGCGGGGCAGACCCGCCCCATTTGTAAGACGGGACGGGCTCTCCCCAAATGTCTCGGGGGGTGTGCGGGTCATTGCGGTCCGAGTTTTTTTGACATGCCTAGGCAAAATATACGATGATAAGAACATGAAAGATATGTTATGAACAGGGGCAAATTGGAAAAAATACGGTTATAGGGGTTGAATCGTCGACCGCGGCCTTTGGCTGCCGGAAATTCTACAAGATTGCCGCCAACTAATACTATCACCATCGTTTTAGTGTTGTCAGTATCAGACTGCCACTAGCAACGGTTCACGATAGGTATATTGAGGGAATTAAGATGTTTTTATTTGGACTGAAATTTTATTGTAAGGTTTGGTTTGATCTCGAAATATCAGATCTTTGTGTATTGTTTGGGTAATTGGCCCAATACGAACCAACCCAATACCCCATGAAGTGTTGACACCAGAAGCCGCGAAGGCCCATAGCTCGTTCTGCCCAGCCCGAGCGGCACGCTCCACGCGGCCTCAGTCCCTTGTCCTATTTTTGCCTGAATTCAGGGAGGTCTCAACCGGAGTGCTCCAGACAGTTGGCGGGGAAGCAAAGATTTAGGCGGGGAATACATTTAATATAATGCACCGGAAACAAAAGATTTGGTGGTTGGGGGATTGCCCATTCATAATGCTCCATATTACCACTACACTTACCTCATGTTAGTATAAATAATATTACCTCTGTCCCACTATGTTTTGAACAAAGGGGTGTGACACAACTTTAAGAAAAATTGAAATTGTGTGGTTGATATTTAATTGATAAAGTATGAATAACGTAAGAATGAACTGTGACCAATAAAATATTACAAAATATGGTATGAGACAAACTTAATGGTACGGACGAAACAAGGTAAAACGGGATGAAGTTAGGGGGACGAAGGGAGTAACATTTATTTCATTGTTAGAGGATGACAACTTGTATTTACTAACTTTAGCTTCTAATCTTTAGTACTCACAGCTTATACTAACGCTCGGCCCTTGACCTCAGTAGGGTGTGATGTAATTGTTCTCATTTGATTAATAAGAACTCGGCCCACTTACTGTTGTCTTCTCTCTTGCTAAATACTTGTGCCGCCTTCAAATACACATGAACCACTAAAACATCCATTGCAGCCCAAGGGAATGTGTTGGGTCCTTAGAGTTGGAGTAACAAATCTAAACATATACTCCCTACGTCCTATTGGATTTTGCCAACTTTCCCTTTTTGGTTGTCCCAAAAAACTTTGCCAGTTTCTCATTAAAGCAACTAATTTGTAGTTCTGCGCATTTCTCTCTCCTCTGCACAAATCTCAACCACACAGTTTTTACTATTCTTATTTCTCACATACTTTGCACTAGGCAAAGTCTACCGGGACAGAAGTAATACTTTCTAACCATCGAAATCTGGTTTGATATGAGATTGAAGTAAGTTCAAGTAAAAATGTAACACTTAAGATTTAATATAAATGGATTAATAGTACTACTCATACCAACAATGTGCATCTCCTTTTAAGGGAGCTCATTAGCCAAGAACTCCAAAGTTAAGCGTGCTTGCACGGGAGTAGTCTTGGAATGGGTGACACACTGGGAAGTTTCTCAAGGCGCGCACGAGTGAGAACAAAGTGCGCGGAAAAGGCTAGTGGCGGTCTGTGGGGACAGTACTAGAGGTCCGGAGTAACTACCCCGGGTCCTGCGGGGTCGGGGTGTTACAAATGGTATCAGAGCAACCCTGCAACAGTGTGCTGATCCGTTGGATATCGGGCAGACACTTAGTAGGGGAAAAGATTCTGGGGTTTGATTGAGATTGGTTTAAGCGTGCTTGCACGGGAGTAGTCTTGGGATGGGTGACACACTGGGAAGTTTCTCAAGGCGCGCACGAGTGAGGACAAAGTGCGCGGAAAAGGCTAGTGGCGGTCTGTGGGGACAGTACTAGAGGTCCGGAGTAACTACCTCGGGTCCTGCGGGGTCGGGGTGTTACAAATGGTATCAGAGCAACCCTGCAACAGTGTGCTGATCCGTTGGATATCGGGCAGACACTTAGTAGGGGAAAAGATTCTGGGGTTTGATTGAGATTGGTTTAAGCGTGCTTGCACGGGAGTAGTCTTGGGATGGGTGACCCCCTGGGAAGTTTCTCAGGGCGCGCACGAGTGAGGACAAAGTGCGCGGAAAAGGCTAGTGGCAGTCTGTGGGGACAGTACTAGAGGTCCGGAGTAACTACCCCGGGTCCTGCGGGGTCGGGGTGTTACAAAAAACATCCGTAAGAGACGTCGTGAACACGCTCTAAGTTTTCTTTGTCTATCATCTCTCTGAATGGCGCCCTAACCCTCACCGGCCAGCTGCTGGCTGCTGCCATCCTTTCCGTTTTGTTCTGCTAACCCAGGTTCGTTTTAATCCATCATGTTTCATTTGAATTTGTTTAGGAGTTAGGCACTTAGCTTGCTATGCTTAAATCAGTCTTATACGAAGTGTTAACACTTTGTTCACTTTCACAATTCACACTACTGCTGTTATTTGACTGGTTTGGTATCAGGCTGCATATATTTTACTCTGTATCATTTAATTTCATAGATATTATTTATCACTTATGTATTAGATGTGATGTATGTGGAAATATGCAGATTTCTATAATTGGAAATCAGTTCAGGTTTGCCTTTATCTATGGAAATATATTATGCGTTTTTCCCCTGCATAAACTCATCAAAAAATTAGTTGCTTACTAGGTGTTTACATGGTGTTTCCCCGTAAAGTGATCTATACAAGTTCATCGTCTATACAAGTTCATATGAAAAAAATTAAAATCATTCTAGGTGTTTGATAATATGTCAAGCTATTTCATTGCACTTTCCTTCAAGTGCTACGTTTTTTGCTCCACTTTTTCCTTCGTCTTTGCTGCGTTTTTCTGCATTTTTTTGCTGCATATTTTATACTTCGTATTACTTAAGACATGGATTGTGATTAAATGGTCAACACAACTTCATATGAAATGAAACTAAAAGCACGCTGCGTGTTTTGATAATATGTCAATACTATTTCGTTGCAATTGCGTTGAAGTCCTAAATATACCATGTGTTTATATGACTAAGACTTCGATTATGATTAAATGGTCTACACAAGTTTATATGAAAGGAAATTAAAAGCACACCAAGTGTTTCGTGTTTGCTAATATGTCAAGGCTATTTCATTGCACTTGATTTCAAGTGATTTGTCTTTTTTAGTGTTTTTTCTATGTTTTTGCTGCATATTTTACATTTATTAAGACTTAGATTGTGATTAAATGGTCTACACCAGTTCATATGAAAGGAAACTCAAAGCACACTAGGTGTTTGATAATATGTCAAGGCTATTTCGTATGTCTTTCAAGTGCTTTGTTTTTTGTTCTATTTTTTGCTACTTTTTTTTCTTGATGCCTTTTCTGCTGCATATTTTATACGTAGTATATATCTGCTGCATATGTTTCCCGATAACAAGATACTTATTAAAAAAACAAGGTACTACTTTTCTAGCTTGCTGAATTCCCTTAATTCCATTTCCATCAGTTGAACACATACTCACTGAATATATGTGTTTCGGTTTGTAGGGTATAGAGCTTTTGCAAACTCCTGGGATGGCGACATACTTCATTAGTTACCACAATTTAAGTAACTTCTTTCTTCAGATGTGTGATTTTTATTAAATACCATTTAAACTTCGTGAGAAGTACTTACATACATATGGTTTATAATTATCTGTACTTACATTAATGCATTTTATAAGAAAAATGATACTACTATCGTATTAACTTTGGACTTTTAGTAGAAGACTGATAGGAGATATGTATGGAGTATTAAATTAGTTATGTCTGACTTAGCTAAAACGTCGTGGACGCATATCTCTCTTTTATCAGATTATACGGAGTATTTGTTTATTTAAATATATTCTATCACACTAATAATATTGATGCCTCAGTTACTTTATGATTGTTTATATTTTACCATAACACCATTCAATTCAACTACGTTTCATTACTTGTGAAAATTAATACTTCCCCCGTTCTTTTTAATCGCAACAGCTCCTGTCCATTTTCATGTTTTCCCACGCACAAGTCCGACCATTAATATCTTTCATTTCTTATTAATAAAAAATTTAAAAAATTCAGATTTCGAAAATTTAGAATGAGAAGAATTTAACAGTATTTTTTTATAAATTTAATTTATAATACATTATTAAATAAAATATAATCAAAGTAGAATATGTGAATAGTGCAAAAAGTCCAACGTTGCAATTAAAAGAGAACGAGGATAGTATATACTGTCGTATTGTACTACGTGGTATATACTATATAGCACATAATATAAAAATTTCATAGATACTTACGTTGAAAACATTCTACACGTTTCATTAAAATTGATAATTGGGCATATTACATTCGCGCAATGCGCGAACAATTTACTAGTGAATGATATAGAAATGTAATGCTTAGTCCGAAAATAAAACATGTCCTTTTAAAAAATATTCCATGCTTTAATCTTACTCCGTATTTACTATTTCTTTTAAACACTCCGCATTTACTTATTTAGTGCAATTTTCTTTTCACATAAACACCATTTTCATAAAAAAGAAGAAAGTGCAACGACGTCGTTTGGTCTAGTAAGTTTAGTCGCGAGTCATTTCGTTCACCGACACGGCGACACCGCCAAAGTGAACTGTGTCCTCTTCTTCCCCTCCGCTTTTGAACTGAACTGTGTCCTCGGCTGAACACACATCGGCTGCTGCCGCTCCTCCTTGCTCCCCCGTCACTAGATCGCTGGAAGCGGCGAAGACGCCCCTTGCCTCCTTGGGACCTCGGCTCCTAGCGACCCCGCTCCACCCTCAACTCGACTGCCCAACCTAGTCATCTGTCTTCGCCTTATCCTTTGGACAATTGGTCTCCCAGCTGATGAATTGACGAAAGCGGCACGTATTGAGGTACTCCGTACTCGCTTCACACTGCTAAATTTCTATATGCCTTATTGCTATTACCCCTTTCTTGGTTTGACCTAAAAATTAGGATTTTTAAAGCCCAGACTCAAATTTTTATGAATTTCTGTACCATGTGACCGTAGTATTAACCTGACTTGCATTTGTTAAATAAACTTGCGATTCAGTAATAAAGTAAAGCTTAGAAGGGTGAACTTTTAAATGAATGGTTAGTCCTACTTTTATGGACTTTCATAAAGTTTTGCTTTTTAAATTGATTTGTTACTCCTATTTTTATTATTAGCAAAGTTTAGAATGTTGAAAGGTTTGGTCAGTTTTGGAAATAAATATATCCGTGGTCATAATAATTAACTTGATAACATGAATGGTAAGTAAGCAAAAATATAATATTGTTTTATAAAACATGAATAAGAGAGACTTAAGAAAAGTTGTTTGTCTTGTGCTTCCATTAAAGACAGTAAACTTTCACTCTCTTTGCATTGAGTTATACAATTTTTTTTGTAATATATCAATACTTATTTAATAAAAAACTCTAATTCGTGATATTTATATAATAAATATAGTAAAATAGAATATTCAAGAGTGAAATGGGCGGGAAAAGTGTGCCATGCACGTGCACCAAGAAAAGGTCCTATAAAGGTAATGCAATACTACTTAAGAAAATATGCATGTGAATATCCAAAAAAATAGCACATAATACTTAGAGTGGATTATTGGACTTCTTAAAAAAAATCCATATAAAATTGCAAAAGTATTTGTGTAGCTTCCCAATAATTAATGTTGGATGTTAGAATTGATTACTTCATTAGTAATTATGATTTACTTGCTGTTTTTAACTTGATAGTGGCGTTTCATATTCCTAGACATCCTACGGGGATCTAAAAATAATACTCCCTCCGTCCCAATATAAAAGGCACATTTGCGTTTGGGGAGTTTTTAAGGGTGAACACTGTTTGACACTGTTTAGACACTGTTTGGCACTGTTTGGACACTGTTTGGCACTGTTTGGCACTGTTTTGCACTGTTTTGTTTGTCAAAAAGGGAAATGTGCCTTTTATATTGGGACGGACCGAAAAGGAAAGTGTGCCTTTTATATTGGGACGGAGGGAGTATTTTTGAACATAGCTTATTTCTAAAAGAGCCCCTATTTGTAGAGCTGTCCAATAACATGTAATTAACGTGTACATATTATAATGTTTTGAGTTGTGAGCTTTGTAGTATTTAATGGCTCGCTTAAGTCATAGTGTTTAATATTGATTAATGATTATACTCCGTATGTACAACCCGATAGCACTTTCTAACACTATTTTACCCAGAAAGAGATATTGTCTTACAGTCTCCAGCTTTTACTTATCTAACTAAGGGTATGTTTGGCACAACTAGCTAAAAAGATACTTTTACAGACTGTTTAGTAACTGTTAGCTTTTAGTGACTGGAAAGATCTTAAAAGTAAAAGGCAGTAACTATTTGGGAAAAAGCTGACTGTTTGGTTTAGTTCTGTTTGGTACGGAAGCTGTTGGGACTAATTAATGCTAAAAGTCACAGACTTTTTTCAGATGCTACCACCTGTAGCATCTCGAAAAAGAGCTTTTTATTTTTTGAAAAGCTCTTATAATTGTCATACCAAACATACAACTAGGAGGTTTTAGAGACTTTTTAAATAATACAAAAGCTAGAAGGCATGGACTTTTGCCTGCCAAACATAGCCTAAGCCGTACTTGAGAAAGTTGATGGAAAAGTCAGTTTATGATTTAGATTTGGAGTGCTACAATTGCCATAAGGAATGATGGAATTGGCTTATGTATCATTTCTATTGGTGTGGCACAAAAGACAATCATTTCTATAGCATGGAGTAGGTAAGTTAGTGTTGAGATGGTAAATACTTGTGCAAAACTTGTGTACTAGAAGCTACTCCTAGATTACCCATAAAAGCAAGTGTTGGTTTTGATTAGATCACTCTAGACAAACACAATAAGAAGTCTGTTTCTAGATGTTTTATTATATTTTAAATTAGAAGAATATGGTTGTTATTACTCCCTCCGTCCCATAAAGAAGTTCTCATTTTGGTTTACGATGCTTGATTGACGATAAAGCAATTCGATCCCTGTTCACACTGAGATTATTTTTAGTAAACAAGATTTACATATTCAGAAACTAAATTAAAAATTTTACAAAGCCTGATCTAGAAAATTTAAATTTGATAAAATTTTGATATATAAAGCAAAAGATTAAGAGTGATTTAAGTTGATCAAGTGAATAGTGAATGAGAACTTCATTTTGGGATGGAGGTAGTATATTCTTACGTTTATAAAAAGTCTTGAACACATGTTTCCGTCAGCGTAGGAGATGCCTAGAGCTATTTTGTTAAAAAGTCTTGAACAAAGTGAAAACAGCACGAATTTAAACTTGGCTTGAGGTATTCTATATTATAGAATGTGGCAACTACTTAATCTTTAAACAGTAGAATGCGGCAACTACTTAATTTGAATGCGGCTTGAGGTATCCTATATTATAGAATGTGGCAATCCATATGCTGTTTTGAAATTGGATTGAGCTATTGTATCCGGTTAGTTATGTAAGTTCTTCGTATGCATTTATGAACAAATGGAAACTTCAGAGAACACCAATATATAGTTATCACGTTTACTTGCACATATTTAAGATCTCTTTAGGAATAAATCACTCCAAATCTTAATCAGATTTAATAGCTTCAATAAATATCTAAAGAAGTGGTTTATAAAATGCAATATGATTATAGATACCTCTAGTGTTTTTCCTCAATAAGAAAACTTAGTGAACCACGCTCTTCCTCAATAACGATAGCTTTTCTAATGCTAAAAGCTTTGTTTTCAAAAAATAAGTGCAGAAGTTCAAAGTTTTTTTAGTGTTTAAATTAAAGATTCAGGGTTTTGACTATTTTGTGTATTTCTTCTGCTTGAAGGTTGAGAAGTCAAAGGGAAGATAAAAGCTCTGAAACAGGAAAACGGAGGTAGGATGAGGAGTAAAGGGGAGAAAGAGGAATCAGCAAGGGATTCCATAAGTATACTGGCAGTGGTTTCAATTTTTACTGTGTTTGTAGTTGGAGTAGTCATTGGGTTAGCTTCGAGCACACACATCGATAAATACATGAACTTTCAAACTCAACAGCCCCACACAAACACTGCCTTCCTTGATTCAGGAAATAATTTTTTTTGTGAGGATTGTTTGAGCATGGAGAGTTTTATCCATCCTAGCACTTTGAATCATGGAATGAAAGATGATGAGTTGTTCTGGAGGGCATCATTGGTGCCCACAAAGAATGAGTACCCCTTTCAGCGGGTGCCCAAGGTGGCTTTCATGTTCTTGACCAGAGGGGCATTGCCTATGATGCCTTTGTGGGAGAGGTTTTTTGATCGCCAGGACAAGAACAAGTATGGAATTTATGTGCATGCCCCTCCAGGGTATGAGTTCAATGTGGCCAATAACTCTGTTTTCTACAACCGCCAAATCAAGAGTCAGGTAACATTCTGTCATAGATCCTAAGAGATTTATTATAATTGATGTCTTTCATTTGTTCATATTATGAGACTTATTTAGTAATATTATGTTCGTGTGTAATACCGACTACTGAGTACTATCTAGTGTCGAATGGTAAAGAGAATACAAATATATGTTCTTGTTGGTTTGGTTTCACAAGAATGTTTAGAGCACTCACCTAATCACAAGAAATTATTTACTTGCAGCGAAATTGGAGAAAAACTTTTTCTGTTGTTTGGCTTTTGGTTTGGCCATGGAAAGTAAATGGTCGAGTGTGACTATTTTTCTTTTGAAGGATGTAAGTTTCCATTTGCATGGGGGAGAGTGGGAATCAGTTTTGACACAAAGTTGGGAAGTCGTCCATTTCTTCTATAGAAAGTACTTTCCATTGAAAGCTCCAAGTACCCCTTAGGAAAGTGTTCGAAAATACTTTGCTGAAATGTCAAGATCATAATGATATTTTTTTCAATAAACATTGATGTGTTTTTCACAAGACCGACCTATATGGTATCAAAACAAGAAAACTAGTTTTGAACACTAATTCTGATAAAAATTACGAACTCTTTTTATTTAGTTCTATGTATAACTCTCTGCTTGCCATGGACGGAGGATGATGGGGGACATAATATAAACCAGGCTGGAGAATGAGACTCTGTTTGGTAAGCATAAAGCCTGGCTTAATTTTTATTTTAAAAATTGTTTATATTGTACTTTTAAATGAAATTAAATAAAGTAATAAAAGGCAACTTTGTCATATCCTTTCATTTTAGTCAGTCAAATAAGTCAGTGTTTGATGAAATTGTGGGTGCTGGAATGTGGTTTTTTCTTAAAAACGTTATTTTTTACTTATTATGCAATTTATGCCAATATAGTAATCTTTTATTGGCAATTTCTTTTCAGAAAGTTGAGTGGGGATCAGTATCACTGGTTGATGCGGAGAAGCGGCTTCTGGCCAACGCTCTTCTTGACTTTTCAAACGAACGGTTCCTTCTTTTGTCCGAAAGCTGTATCCCACTTCACAGTTTTCCCACTGTCTACAAATACCTCACTGAATCACACCATAGCTTTGTTGAATCATATGATGACCCGTCACGTTACGGTCGTGGCCGCTACAACCGTAGGATGAATCCCAATATCAAGCTCCCAGATTGGAGAAAAGGGTCTCAATGGTTCGAGATGGGCCGTATTTTGGCTATCAAGATAGTTTCGGAAACAAAATACTACAACCTGTTTAAGAGTTACTGTCATCCTTCTTGCTACCCCGATGAGCATTACATTCCAACTTATCTTCACATGTTCTACGGACCCATGAATGCTAACCGTTCCGTGACTTACGTTGATTGGTCGCTGGGTGGTCCGCACCCGGCAACATATGCTGCTGTCAACATTACTGAAGGCTTCCTGGAGGGTATAAGGTACAATGGCACTTCTTCATGTTCCTACAACTCCGGGAAAACGCAACTGTGTTACTTGTTTGCTAGAAAGTTTGCACCAAGTGCTATTGAGCCTTTACTAAACATATCTTCCAAAGTGATGGGGTTTTAAAAGTTTTGACTGATATTTTTTCCCTGTTCCTTTGTAATTTGCTTGACCATCCTTACAGAGGGGTTTGGCATTTGATGTGATTTAGGCTACTTAGTTTCATTGTTCTTTATAGGGCAGTGTATAGTTTAGGAGTTGGTCCAATAAATTAGTACCGAAGCATTCATGTATGTACACTAGGTCAACCCTTAACTGCAAAAAGCTTCTCAAAAGAGAGGCATATGAGATACTGCAATTTTCACCCACCTAAAGAAGAAGCAATGGAGCCAAAGATTCAATATTTTTTGGCTTGAGAATATGATGGAATAAAGCAAAATGGCTCACCAAACTGTCTGCTCTTCTTTGTTATAAAGCAGCAGTCAGTCCATGCAATTTTGGATGCAATTTTCGGTCATCCGGAAACAGTCTCTCTGTGCTTTGCGGCACTGGGGCAAATGATGATTGATATATATAATAATATAAAGAAAGACGCAATGCCCCATTTTCATTTTATTACTTGTTGGTTGTTCTGCATCCATATCCAGCATGTTGGCAATGATGGAATGTAATCCAATGTAAATGGATTTCTTCTTAATTTGTTAGTGTTTCTTTTACTGTTCAGTCTACCTAACTAGTAACTACTAGCCCCGTTCCACTAACATTGGGACATTAGGAGGTGATACGGTCTATCTATTTAAAGAAAAGATTTAGCTCATAAAAATACAATATTACCCCTAATGAATCCTAGGTATCTAGCTCTCCTTAATTCACTCATCATTTGCTATTTTGCTATAGCAATGACACATGGCCATTTTTACTTCAAATACCAAACTATCCTATTGAAGGGAAGGGAGCAGCCGTAGGAGATGCAGCTGGTGGGGCCCAAGCTATAGAAAGCCCCAATTTTTTTTAAAGCATTATAACTTTTTCATTTTTGTTCCAATTTTTTCAAAAAATATATTAAAATTCATAATTTTTTGTGATATTTCAAATGAGATCAATATTGAATATATAAAATATAATTTATTAATGGTCTCTATAATTATGATTAAAAATATATACTTTTTTTGATCTATTTTGTTGTTTGAATTGGGAAAAGTTACTCTAGATCATTTTTAGCTATTTTTTATATAATGATTTTCTTTATTTCATTAATAAAAGTATTTCAAGTTAAATTTATCCATAAACCAACAGATTCAACTAATTCAAACACTTCTCTAAGAAATTCATCCATTTTAACACATTTAACCAATTCCGGTACTACTAAATGGTCTCTAAAATCAATATTAGACCATGAGAGGAAAAAACTAAAAATATTTAATAAAACTTTCTTAAAGTATTTTATGATTTGATGACACTGGTTTGATGCATAAAAAATCGCAAATGAAAATCTAATTAGTTCTAAAACTTAGAGTTTGTCTATTTGAATTTGTTTTGAGTTGTTCTAAATTCAAGATGATGAGTAATTTGAATTTATCAATCCTAATAAAAATCAAATGTTATTTTCAATTTTTTATTCTGCTCCCTTCATTAAACTATGACAAGCCTTATTCCTTCCTGTTATAATGTCACTCGAGAATAAAAAATTAGCAAATAAAATTAAATAATTAAATCGAGTGCTAATAAAATAAAGCTTCAAAATTTAGTTCAATTTATTATTCTTTATTTTTAAGAAAACTGGGGAAAATATGAAAATTTAGATTTATCATTTTTGGTTTGTTTTAAACTAAAGTTACTTTAGAGAATCCATTTTTACTCCTTTTCAAATAACTTTTTATTTACTTCATTAATATAATATAATTTAAATTACCCTAAATCAAAAGAATCAATTTCTACCAATTCTGCTACTTCTATCAAAATTTCATCAATTTCAAAAGGATCGGGCAATTTAGTCAATTTCAATGTTAATAAACTGGCTCTAAATATCAAAATTAGAACATGAAAGTAACAATAGACCAGTGGCTAATAAAAAGGGACTTTTTGAAAAAAGGGCTTTTTAACCGTAAAAAAAATGAGAATCTAAAAAAACATTTAATTAAAAATCAACATGTTGAAATAATAACTTTATGATAGTAACATGTAAGTGATTCAAAACTATAAATATACTTGAATTTGGTTACTATTGTGGACTTGCAATTCTGTACATACAAACGAGACAGACTTATGAGCATGCTCTATTGATCAAATATTATTCCTCAAAAGATCTCTATAATGTACATAGTGATAGGAAGAGTACCACATACTGCCTTGACTTGAAATGATTTTTTTAATCATGTTCATAGTATCATAGTTTTGGGTGAGAGAATCAAAGTTGATTTACCAATAAATGACAAAGTGATATGGTTCTTACATAATTGAGGGGGGGATTTTAGGTGTAAGATAATTTGGCTAACAATTGAGTGAGAGGGATTTCTCTATCTCATATGTAATGTGTTTAGGAAATAGAGTTTAAAAAATAATGTCAAACTTGCTAAATAAAAAGTTACATATACGTTAAATGCATTACCTTCTTTAAAATAATATTTTTAGAGGTCGGGCATGTCATTTTTCAAAACAATTTCTATACCGCAAAAAAAGATCACATATAGTGTTTTTATGTATAAGATAAGCCGGCTAGCAATTGAGCGAGAGATTTTATCTCTCATAAGTAGTGCTTTTAGGTATAAGATAATCAAACAAACAATTCAAAAGAAGAATTTTCTCTCTCATATGTAGTTTTTTATGCATAAGATTCTAGGTATTAGAAGATAAACTTTCTAAAACAATTGGGCGAGAAAATTTCTGTCTCACATTTAATGCTTTTAGGTATTACAGAAGTCGGCTGATAATTGAGTGGAAGAAATTTCTCTCTCATATGTAGTGGTTTTAAGTATTATTATAGGATATTTCCCAAAATAGAAGTAAACAGAGTTTAAAATTTCAAAATAGAAATGCTATGTTTTTCTTCCGGAAATAAGACTGAGATGACAATATTTAGTGCCATCTTTTAGTCATGGCTGCCAATTAGTTGCAGACTTGCAGTACTATGCATTCAACATAACAATATTTATTATAATCAATGGAAGTATTTTTCAATCATGTCAGTATTTTGCATTCATGATAGTAATGACTCTTTTTTGGAAATAAAAACATAGTGGTCCTATTTCCGAATTCCCAAAGTTGTTTAATTACTCCTATTTAGGGCAATTCCCCTACTATCACTACGGAGTAGAATATAAGCTTGCTAGCAATTGAGCGGGAGAACTTTCTCTCTCATATGTGATTCTTTTAAGTATATAAGATATGAGATATGAGATATGAGATATGAGATATAAGATAAGCTGACTAATAATTGAGCGGAAGAATTTTATCTCTCATATGTAGTGGTCTTAGGTATAAGAAGATAAGCTTGCTAATAATTGAGCGAGATAATTTCTCTCTCATATGTAGTGCTTTTAGGTATTAGAAGATAAACTTGCTAACTGTTGATCGGGAAAATTGTATTGAGCAGTAGAATTTATCTCTCATATGTAATGCTTTTAGGTATGAGAAGATAAATTTGCTAACAATTGAGCGAGAGAACTTTCTCTCTCATATGTAGTTCTTTTAAGTATAAGGTAAGCCGGCTAGCAATTGAGCACAAGAATTTTGTCTCTGATGTGTAATGTTTTTAGCTATAAGATAAGCCGACTAACAATTAAAGGTTATAATTTTCTCTCATATGTAGTGCTTTTAGGTATTAGAAGATTAGAAGACAAGTTTACTAACAATTGATCAAAATAACTTTCTCTCTCAAATGTAGTTCTTTTAAGTATTTCATATAAGATAAGTCAGCTCAAAATTGAATGAGATAATTTTCTCTCTCATAAGTAGTGCTTCTAGGTATATGGAAATAAGAAGATAATATCCCTTAACAATTGAACGAGATAACTTTCTATCTCATACGAAGATAAGCCGACTAACAATGGAGCGGGGGAATTTTTTCTCTCATAAGTACTGCTTTTAGATATAAGAAGAATTTTCTTTCTCATATATTGTGCTTTTAGGTATTAGAAGATAAACATGTTTACAATTGAGCGGAAGATTCTCTCATATATGTAGTGTTTTTAAGTACTACCTATAAGATAAGCCAGCTGACTAGCAATTGAGCGGAAGAATTATGTCTCAAATTTAGTTCTTTTAGGTGTAAGATAAATCAGCTAACAATAGCAAGATAATTTTTTCTTTCATATGTTAACACTAATTTAACCAATGAGTATCAAGTTTTTATTTAAGTAATATCATTAATTTTAATATTTATTGTATTCACTTAATGTCACTCACTTATTGTACTCACTTTTTTAGAATAGTATTTAATTTTAAAATTAACTTAATCATGAAAATTAATAAGTATCAAATTATAATGAGTGGTGTCAAATAATGTTCCCTAATATACTCTGCATCGAATATTATTGTATGGACTTATACTTTATGGTATTAGCTCATTGTACTCTTAGTTTTCGAAAATGTAGAATTCTAAAAAGTTTTTTTTAATATTTAATTAGACCATGAGTAAAAATACATCCATCAACTGCTCCTTCATGTGCGTATGCACGGGTACTATACTAGTTATTAAGTAAAGTGAATTAATGTGGTTGATTTTAAATTGATAGAGAATAAAATAGTAGTGCTTAGAACCATACAAACTTTATCAAATTCAGTATGTGACAATCTTAGTAGGATGGAGCGACAAAGAAAGATCAGACAATATTAGAGGGACGGATAAAGTATTATTTTAAATATAATATAATCATCTATTTGTCCAACCCAATTTATGGTTCAATTTCGATTTATTCAATTTGGAGATACTATACCAAACTAAAATCATTTGTGTTTCAGTTTGGTTTCAGTTTGATTAGGAAGTGGTTTGGTTTCAGTTTGGTTTCAAGTCATCGTTACTGAAGTGAAAATGATTTGATTCAATTTAGTTAGATTTGATTCCATTTCATATTATTATTCTTTTATTTAATCACCTTTTTGTATTTATTATTTAAATAAAATGTGAAGGGAAATAAAAGATATAAAACAAATATGGAGTAATAAAATATTACTCGTATAAATTAACACATGATGTATTTTATCAAGACTGATAACATAAAAATGTCTAGCATCTTCTCAATCAATAGAAAAAAGATTCAACGTTCACAAAGATTAAATTTACAATTGATTAGCATTTATAATATGACATAAAATATTCAAAGAAAATTAAATGAATAGCATTTATAATATGACATAAAATATTCAAAGAAAATTAAATGAATAATGTATAATGTATATTATAATACTCGTATAGTTTAAGTTGTTTAACTAAAATATGAATGTAATATGCTATTGTCCTTGCTAAACGTCTTTTCATACAGAGTACAAAATATAACTATGTTTTAATTTATTAGCTAACTTTGTTATCATGAATGTATGAAATGTGTATAAGTTGAAATGGTAGTTGCTAAATTACCTAAAGATGAAGAGTGAGAACAAATACAAATTATTTTTATAAATATTAAAACTTGTTCAGTTCGACTTACGGTTTTTCGCATTCAAACCAAA